ATAACTGATACTCATTTATGTAATCAGCAAAAGTTAATTGGTCACTGATTATTTTCCAGAATATTAGCTATATTCTAGAAATACAGAGTATCTTTTTACTTAAGGAACTCACAATGAAGGAGAGTCACAGAGAGGTAATTGCAGAACTGTCTGATAACATGTTGAAAACATGCACAGTATGGGGATATTGCTGGGAAAGAGAAACATCTACCTGCAGAGTGGAATACTAGAGAGTGAGTCACAATAAGCCAAAGTGAAGTGGGATCCTAAAAGATGTTGTTAGTAGGAGCTAGAGATAAACGAACAGGGAAGCAATGACAGTAGCATCTTTTATTTTAGAAAAGATGAGTTGTTCAATAGGATGTAGGGTAAGGAAGAGAACTGGAGGAGAGGAAGGACTAAGCCAGGGCATTCTAAACAAAAGAGCAAGTGGGAAGGAATACCTGGAAGAAAGAATTCCTGAAGGTTATGTGGTGAATCATAAGTGATCATATTCTTAAGTGAGAAGTTTAAGGCAAGAAGTGGCGAGAGTTTAGCATTTCAAACAATTAGGCAGAGCACTAGTAATGGAAGTTTTTAGAAGATTGCCAGTCTGGGTCTAGCTCAGTAAGTCTCAAGCTTCCTAATGCTGCAATCCCTTAATATAGTTCCTCATGTTGTGGTGACCCCCAACCATAAAATTATTTTTGTTGCTACTTCATAACTGTAATTTTGCTTATGTTATGAATTGTAATGTAAATATCTGTGTTTTCTGATGGTCTTAGGTGACCCCTGTGAAAAGTTTTTTTTTTTGTAATCAGACCTTTCCTGTCCTGACCACCTGGTCCCAAATAACTGACTCAGAGGCTGAATATAAATTATAAATACTCAGTCAATAGCTCAAACTTGTTACTAGCTAACTCTTAACTTAAATTGACCCATATTTCTATTTATGTTTTGCTACATGGCTCATGACTTGCTACCCTATTTTTACGCATCCTAATGCTCAGCAGTGGTTGCTAGCTGGCATCTTTCCTGACTCTGCCTTCCTTCCCATCATTCTCAGTTTGGTTTTCTTACCTAACTTCCTGTCCAGCTACTGGCCTGTCAACTTTTTGTTAACCAATGAGAGTAATACATATTCACAGTGTAATACATAATCATAGGATTATTCCACAGCATTTTTCTATTTTTGTCTAATTAAAAAGGAATGTTTTAACTTTATTATAATAGTAAGATTACAACAAAAAATGTTATTAAGAATTACAGTTACAATATCCAGTCCATTTTTTTTGACAAAATTAGAGAAAATAGTTATCTATCTTATCTTGGTGAGTCTAAAGTTTCACATTTAATTTATCTTTTTCATAACTAAGAAAAACTATAACTACAACTTTCTAGTCTTCAACTCCATCAAAGACCCCAGAAGGGTGAAATGTTACCTAACAACAGGGAAATCTTGCTGCCTGGACAGTTACCCAAAGTTCCTCTGTAACTTTGGGACATCCAACTCTGGCCTACAGGCCTAGTATATATGACAGACTTTCCTGTGATACATGGAATTCTGAAGGACTGTCCTATGTTGTCTTGGCAAAGTTTGGCAGTCACCTGCTTTTGTGTCCTGCTGGTCCAGTTTGGACAGTAACTGTCAGCAATTGAGGCAAGAGCAGTTTCTTTGCCCACATGGCTAGCTTTTGCCATAAAGAAAACAAATTCCATGTGGAGTTTCTTCGATGTCCATCATCATTTTTGAAGTACTTTGTGTGGTGACATATTGTGTACCCTAATAAACTTTGGCTGAAGATCAGAGAACAGAATAAGACTCTAGATAAAACATAGAGGCCAGACAGTGGTGGTACAGACCTTTCATCCTAGCACTCTGGAGGCAGAGATCTGTCTGGATCTCTGTGATTTAAAGCCACCCTGGACTACATGAGATTGGCTCAGTCTAGGAGAGAAACACAGCCAGGCAGTGGTGGCACACACCTTTAATCCCATCACTAGGAAAGTTGAGACAGGAAATGATATGGGTGGGCAGAGAAAGGTATATAAGGCAGGAGGAGACAGGAACTAAAGTCTTTTGGCTGAGGAAGGCTTTTCAGGCTGAGAGTCCTAGAGGTAAGAGGTGGCTTGTTCCTTTGTCTCTCTGAACTTTCAGCATTCACCCCAATATTCTGGCTTCGGGTTTTTATTATAAGACCATTTAACAATTTGTGTCACAATTTTGTGCTGCTGGGAGCAGATATGCCTCACTGTCAAGAAAAGTCTAAGTTCTTAAAACATTTTGAATGCCATATTCTGAAGGTCTTTGAAGTGTTTAAAGATTGCTTTTCTATCTAAAATACATCTCTTATGACCTTGAAAACCTAACATGACTATAAGTTTGCTATTATAGATGACTATTAATCTATACTCCTTAACTATATATTACATTTTAAATTAGCTGCATAAACATAATGCCCTAAAAGAGAATAGAAATATACATACAGTATTAGAAAATTAACTTTAAATTTGTATCAATAAACCAAAATCTATACTAATGTAAAATATGTAAGATTAATAGTTGTTTTTTAGATTAAAGGGGATTCAATAATCTACCCTTTTATCCTATTATTTCTATATCCCCTTTTTCTTTTCAGAACAAGATCTCTGAATCTAATTCCTTTGTTTAGTTTTTTTTCCTGATCATTATCCATAACAACTTGCAAACAACCCCCCTTACTGATGACAAACATTCATAATTTATTTTTGGGAATATGGGCATAGTTCTCTAGACTATGTCCTGCTAATTGGGGGACACTGGTAATCTTTGGGAGACCCTGAGAAAATTTAGGATTATGGTCAAGTTCTGACTGGAGTATTCTGTGATGCTGCATCATCTCAGCCAGCAGCCCTAAAGTTGTTTTGGAAGTAGAACTCAGAGGAAACTATAACAGAGGTGCTCTGAAACATTGGATCATCTGGGCCATCCTTTCCCATCAGAGATTTTTCAGGGAGTCTTTTTCAATCAAACCCTATTTTTCTTAACCTAGAATGAATTCACAGCTTCTCATTTCCCGTGGAAATAAAAACAGAACCTCTTTCCCAAAGTAACATACCTTTTGACTTAAAATTTGAAGTCAAGATATTTTTTAAAATGTATAGGTTGGTTTAATTTAGCAGCTTTCATGATCAAATGTCTCTTAGCAGTTATCATTTGTTCATTGGTAGTAAAAAAATTTAAAGACAACACAATAGCACACAGTATTAAGACTGTGTATTTTCCATCTTTACGTGGCTTATTACGTTTTTATTACTCTATTCCTTTTTATGATTTATTTTAAAACTATATTTTGTTATCTAAGACTGTATATATTCTTTTTTATCTCTCTCCCAAGCCCACACATACTTTTTAAACTCACTGTGACCTGTTTAAAGGCTGTTTTTGTCTGGATTTGTCCTTACTGAGCATCTGTAACCTTTTCTGTCTGCATGAGGAAGAACAAAACAAAAACTGCTGTGTAACTTAGATCATGTGTTCTGGTGCTGGCTCCTACCCCTCGATTTCCTGAGAGTCCAGTCTCATGGTGGAGGTACGTTTACTGCCAGCTCTAGGAGCCACTTTTACTGCCCCAACTCTGGGAAGTTTCTAGGTCCATGCTGCCACTGAGAAGGGTGGTGCTCATAAACACCATGTAAGTGTTTGGTGGTAGGACCTCTTAAAAAAGCTGCCTGTTTTTGCTTCTAGCAGCAAGCCAGAAAGCCATCTCTTAAAGGAGCTGTGCCTCTGCTCAACACCAGCAAACAGAGCCTGTGGGAGCAAAGATGGTTACCAAGAAACTGTGCTTGACTCTATTTTTGTGTGTTTAGAATCCTTTTTTAGGCTTTTTTAGGTCTTGTGTGGAAATTCCGGCCCTGTGTTGGGCCGCCACCAGAAGGGTCAGGACCCACATATTGAGAACTGCTGGTTGCTGATGGATGGTGCAGGTATAGCAAGATTAGATTTCCCAAATGCCAAACTAAAATTACATTAGTCCAGGAGTCTACATTTTATGTAACAATTTGCCTTTTGTGGGTAAGTTGGGAAACAGGAACACAATTTTTAATTTAAAACAAAATTTAATATGATAAGATTTGATCATGTTTCCCCCTCCCCCAACTTCTCACAGATCCTTCTCACCTCCCTACCCAAACAACTTTATGTTCTTTCTCTCTTTCAATGAAACAGAACAAAACAAAAATCAAAATGAACACAAAACCAGTAAGACAAATAAATAAATCTCAAAAAAATGAAACAAAAGTCCACAAAAACAAACAAACAAATATGGACTTCATTTTGTTTTGGCCAACTACTTCTGGATGTGGGGCCTACCCTGAAATGTGGTTGATATACTCAGTGACACTCTATTCGCAAAAACTGATTTCCCCAAATAGTTTCTTGGTTAGGGGTGGAACACCATGTCTACATTCCTCTCTTAGTTGTGACAGCCCATCAGTTCTGAATGTGTGTAGGTTCTGTGCATGCTGTCAGTTTCTGTGATGTCATATGTGCATCAGTGCTGGTGTGTCTGGAAGATACTTTTACTTGGAGTCATCCATCACATCTGGCTCTTAAAATTTTTTTCATATCCTTTTCTGCATAGATTCTCGATGAGTTTGATGAAGCCATTCTAATTAGGACTGAGTGTTCCAAAATCTCTCTACACATTGTCCACTTGTTTGAAGGCACTTGTCAATCCACAAGTATATTATACTAAAACAGCACACACATGAAAAGAAATGAATAAATTAAAAAGTACATAAACAAATAATTAAATATCCTTGCAGAGAAGCTTACCGTAATGAGAGATGGAATTCTGAGAATACATTAGGATCTAATTTTCTGTGAGTGCCTCAAAGAATCTGGCAATTTAGTCTCAGTACAGTCTTTTTTTTTTTTTTTTTTTTTTTTTTTTTTTTTTTTTTTTTTTTGAAACAAGGTTTCTCTGTGTAATTTTGGTGCCTGTCCTGGATCTCACTCTGTAGACCAGGCTGGCCTCGAACTCACAGAGATCCCCCTGGCTCTGCCTCCTGAGTGTTGGGATTAAAGGCGTGTGCCACCACCACCCAGCTCAGTACAGTCTTTAATTTGTTGTCTTTAGAATTGAGTCGTTAATGCCATCTGAGTTTCAATCTTGAGTAATCTTCAGGGACTGTCTGTTGAGGAGATGAAAAATTCATATTAGGAAATTTTCCATATAGAACAATGGAAAAGAAGGTAGGTGCACCCATGAGATTGCTAGATATTCTCAAATAGAGTATGCCATCCCTGTAACAGCTTTGTACAGATGTATGAAGTAGCTACAGGTGTGGAGCAATTGACTTCTTCATAGTCTTGTCTTCTAGTTTCAACTCTACCTTATATCTAAACCACTTTATGTCTAAATAAATTCACTTCAATAAATTCAGGTTCCCTTCTTCAGTAAATCCCATTTCATGGAACTTCTTGAAACTGAAATACTTAGGTTTGATTTTCCTGCTTGGAGTCCAATTATTATTTTGCAATTAAGATTTTTCCCCCATGTACCCTCATTTAGTCTAAGATTTGTTCTGCATCTAATAATGTTTAGTATTTCTTTTAATTAGAGATCCTAGTCCATTTGAGGCCCCCTGTTGTTCTGCTGCTTATCGGAACTCACATCTCCTTCTCTAATTTGGTTCATGAAGTCGTATCCATTTTCATGACTTGTTCCAAGATCTGTGTTATGAAGGCTTTCTTGACTATTCCACATTCTGTAAAAGGATGAGTGTGAAAATTATTAGTGAAATATGTGATAATATTCAAATCAAAACTATGTATCAGAAATAGCTAGCTCTCTAACAATTTGAGAGTGAATGGGTGGGTGAGTGCAATTCCATACCAAGAGATGTATGCCCAAACCACAAAAGATTACTAAAATTGCAAATTTTCTACCAACCAATAAATGAAAAGGAAATATCACACCTCTTTACATAATTCTGACACTATAGAAGTTTACTCACACTTGGAATGAAACCAATTCCCATTTGGATAATTATCAAGCAAAGATTGTAAAGATGCCAAAAGAGAATTGCCTCTCAAAGCCTTCCCAACCATCTTTTCCTAAAAGAAGTCTGGAGATATGTAACACTGAAATTTAAATTTCCCTGAGATCAGTCTTGAGTTGGAAAATGGATGGAAGCAGGAAGGGAGAACAAAAGAAAGAATAAAGAGTGTTAAATTTTTATACAGATAGACCTGTAACTGCCTCTTTCTCTCTAAACATTTCTATTTGAGAACTCCAAGCTTCTTCCATTGCTATTAGTGGCCAGTTTCTCTGGTTAATGAGGCAAGCACTTATTCATATCTTTCACCGGACGTGGCTGTAAGCAGAGAACAGTATAATGGCAAAAGATGCTCCTGCCCCTTGTACAGAGTCCACATAGGGATGCAGAAGCTGATGTTGCCTGCAGCTTAGATGGGTCTCCAACTCTCCTCAGGGCTGCCCATGGTCGGCTATGGAACAAGGAGGCACCAGTTCTCCCTCTTCTCATTTGCCTGTGATCCTCTGTAGGAATCAATGTGCTATCATACTAATTAGCATCTAATTATGCTCTCTCTTGGATTATTTTTCTTGGTTTTTCAGCTGTATTGGAGATCCTTAAGGGCAGAAAAGCCCCTGTATTACCATTCCTGTTATCCTAGCATTTAGCAGAATGCTGAACACAAAGAAAGTGCACCATATGTTATCGGATCTCACTTGGTACATAAAGACAGAGAAGTCCAGGGAGCCTGAGAACTTCCTTTACTGAGGCAAAATTTTAATAGTGCCATCACCAGTAATTCAATTTTTATTTGAGGCAGTTAACTTTCCACCAGCTAAAAATAATATTAATTGTGCACTTAGTATCTGTGAAGTGTTTTCACATATGTTATTTAACTTAATTATTACAACCAGAACCAGATGAAGAGGCAGACCATCTGTACCATCGCCTGGAGCTCCCCTCTGACAGGCAGTACAAATCTAAAGGCTCTTAAGTTAGAGAGGTGCGGGTTTGTGTTCACTAAGGTCTTGCAGTTGAATGTTCACTGAAGATCAAGATGTTACAGGAGAGCTTTTCAGAAACATGAAGTCTTAGTTCTGCTTACACTTTTCTGAACTAGGAACTATTTTACCCTGGTACTAATGATCATGGGGAAACTGAAAGCCAGCCTTGGGGACAGTATTCCTATGGTTAGAGATACAAATCTTACATGCTGGTTAGGACTTTATATATTGCTTAGGTAGAGGGATGTTCTGAGATATATGCTTAAATAAAAACAGGTGATCAAGAAACCAACTCTCTGTACTATTGCCTGAGTGATTTCTGGACAGGTTTGTTAATTTAAATAGCTATGCTTGGGTTTAGAAGAAGAGTGCCCATAATATAGCAGAGCCTGAGAGTGGTTGGTAGTGTTCAAAGTTAAATTTCAAGTCAGAGCAACATGAACAATATTTTAAGTAGGATTAAAAAACAATTAGTTCAGAGAACACTATCTGCCTATTTCAAATCCCCTCACATTTACCAGCTGGCTGGGGCTCTTGCACCTACTGTTCCTTTCCACAGGATGTACTTCTTCCAAGTTGTGCTTGGCCAACTCTGTCTGCCTATTCATGTTGGCTCTTTTCTAGACACTGTCACTGAAGACTTTCCTAGACACTGTCATTGAAGTAGCCCTGTTTCCTCAATCCTTTTGTTAGTAGAACTTTATGCTAAGTTCATCTTCTTTCCTTACAATTTCTTCCCCTCCAGATTGTTACCTCAATGAGATGATGTTTTTCTCTGTTGTTGAACATCTTATTCCCTATGTCTGCAACCCTGGACACAGTGAATACTCTATAAACTGCTGTATAATGTATAAGCCTACAGATAGTAGAGTAGCATCAAAACAGTTGCTAAGGTTGATAGGTTAATGGGATAGTAAATTTTGCTTGTCAGCTTGGTTGTATTAAGAAACACCTCAAGCATTAGTGAGACCCATCTTTAGGTGTGTCACAGAGAATTAACAGATCGGCAAACATAGATTCTTGTAGTGGGTAGCCATTCCAGCTTTGATCTGGAAGTTCCAACCCCCATTGAGGCTTCGGTAACTGTCACACCTACAAGGCGGGGCCAAGAGAGGACCCTGAAGACCCAGGATCCAGATGGGCTGGCTCTCTTGGCTCCTGGACCCTGGACGCTGGAGGTAGACCGAGCAGAGTTCTCCAGAGAACACCGCTGGACTGCGCTATGCCTTTCCCAGACTCTGTAAACTATCCGTTCACTTGTAAGTTACCCCAGAAAATAAACCTCCCATTTAACTACGTGGAGTGACCTTAATAATTTCACCAATAGATTCTGAATGTGGATGACATCATCCCATGAGCCATATTGAACTGAAAAGCAAATATGGAAAAATGAGAAAAGGAACTATATTAGTATGAGTCAGAGTTCTCTAGTGGAACAGAACTAATAGAATAGAATATTATTATAATTATTAAAGTGACTTACAGGCTATGGTTGAGATAGTCCAATCATGGCTGCCTTCTGACAGAAAGGCCAAGAATCTGGTAGTTGTTCAGTGCATGTGGCTGGATGTCTCAGCTTGTCTTCAGTCTATGTTGGGATCCTGAAGAAATAAGTTCTAATACCAGTGAAGTAATGCCTCATCTGCAGAATAGATGAACTTGCCAACAAGAGTGAGGGTAAGCAGACAAAAAGCAAAATCTTTCTTCTGTCCTTTTATGTAGACTGCCACCATAAGGTCTAGCCCAGATTTAGAATGTGTCTTCTCACCTCAAATGATCTAATAAAGAAAATTCTTCACAGCTATGCCCAACTGTTTGGGCTTTACTTGATTCCAGATGTGGTCAAGTTGACAACCAAGATCAGGGATAACATAAGCTGAGTAACAGCATTACCTGCTCTCTGCTTTCTCCTTTAATGAGATGTGAGCAAGTATTTTAGTCATACTCCCTTTGCCATACAGCCTCCTGTCCCTTGCTTCTAACCAACCGAGTACTGCACACAGGATAGGATTTTTAACTTTTAATTGAATTATATAACAATACCCTAGCAGAACAGATTGGGAGACTGTTGATTTTGAATAAGCCAGCTAGAATTCTGTAAGAATCAGGTGACAAGGAAACATATCATCCTCCCTTACTAAAGATATCCAAGAGTGACAGCCAGAGGAGAATAAAGTGTTACATCCAAACCCACAAGTCTGGATACAGACCTTTTCCCAAGTGAGCCTCTGGTGTGACTACCACCCTCCAAATGAAGCTGTCATCTGAGTTCCAACTCTGAGCAAGACCCAGGTAAACTGTGTGGACTGCGGCTCTGGGGAATGAAATAGTAATTGTGTGTGTTTTACCAGTGACTCTGTGACCATTTGCCCACTAATCCAAATCTGATACAGGTCATTGCATAACATATAAAATTCATTATGCTTACATATTTGTATGTTAAATAATTATTCAATTTATATCTTCAGTATTAATTTAAGGTTTTTGGTTTATCCTCAACATTTTCAATGAAAAGTTTTAATGTAAGTATTTGAAACAAAACTATTTTTTTCACAAATGATCTTGAACAAATTATAATTATTTTAAGGTCTATTTTCAGTATCTAATACTTTAAGTACTGTTATTTTTATTTCTATTGCCTTTTGGTTTTAATAATTTTTTTTGTTTCTTGGGATAACTGGTATTTTTTATTCAATATCAATATTCTTCTGGAAAACTGTAGACAGTTCTAGCCATGATGGAATAATTAGAATTCTGGAATGACTTTATGAAATAAATGTTTCTGACACTGGATATCAGACAACCCAGGACTGAGAAAGGAAGGCAAGCAAGAGGAAATCTTAGCTTGTTTTGCTAGAAGGGATGATTGTACATAGTTGTGCAGAAAGGGACGCTAAGTGAAACATGGTGCCTTTATTTGTTGCAACAGAAGGGGGTCTTAAGCATGAAGATGCAGTTGAAATCCATAGCGTGGAGCATTACAAAGAAGTTGTACAGAAGGAATATTTCAGATTTACCGATTAATGTCCCCTGATGCATTGACTAGATGCCAAGCTATATATAGGTGTGGCAAAACTCCATGGGTTCAGGAAGAAGGATCTAGGGAAGTTTATTCCTAACTGTGAGGGGCCTGGGTTTCAACAAAGAAGACACAGACAACAGCAGTGAGAACATGAATCTGAGTTGTGCATTATACAAGTGTTAACAACTGTAAGTAGCCGGGCGGTGGTGGCGCACGCCTTTAATCCCAACACTCGGGAGGCAGAGGCAGGCGGATCTCTGTGAGTTCGAGGCCAGCCTGGTCTCCAAAGCGAGTTCCAGGAAAGGCGCAAAGCTACACAGAGAAACCCTGTCTCGAAAAACCAAAAAAAAAAAAAAAAAAAAAAAAAAAAAAAAAAAAAAAAAAAAAAACAACTGTAAGTAAAAATGGAGAGCAGTGAAAAGAACAATGGAAAATAGAAGGACAACAAAACAGCAGTTTGGAATTGGAAAAGGAAATGTGTGGATTGTTATAATGAACTTACCAGCTAAATAGATACATGCACAGACTAAGAAACTTCATGATCATCATGTCAGAAAATATAAAACCAAAACAAGACACACTGGAATAAAATTGTCAAAAACATTGACAAATAGAAGAGTTTAAATGCAAAGAGAAGGAGACGCATTACATGAACAATTACAAAATAACAGTGATTATGGCCATTTTCCTTTCAGAAATTATTTGCATCAGAGGGAAATGGAACATTGTTAAAGCATGAAGAATCAAAGCTGCTGATGTAGAACACTTCATGGAGCAAACTCATGCTTTACAAATGAAAGCAAGATAAAGGCATGTTCAAGTCACAACAACAAATACAGCTGAGACCATTCACATTCAGTTACATCCTGCACAATCTGGATGGCTAAGAAACTTCTGCAGCCTGGAGAAAGTTGTACCAAACAGGAACTGAGATCTGATCATGACTCAAATGGTCTGAAATAGTTGGATATAAAAATATATTTAGAATGTGTATTCTTATATTTTAGTCTTCAGTGATAATTTAAATAAAAATTGAAACAAGGTATTGTGACATTAATTACTTTGGAAAATTAAAAATTCAATGACAGAAGTGATAAAAACTGATATAAAAATGTTAGAGTAAATAGAAAAGTAGCAACACTGTATTAACCATGAATGTCTCGGCAGACTAATTAACCCAATTCAAGTTTATGGAGTATTTTTCCATATAAAAACACAAGAGACACTCAATGTGCATGATTCAGCTTTAAAATAATGCTTATAGACTGTCATTTGATAGCAATAGCATTAATCTAAAAACTATCAAAAGACGAAAATACTTCACACATCTAAAATATATTCTCAAATAATATATGGACAAGATGTTCCATGTGAAGAAAATACAAGAAAAAGCATAAACTACTTTATTGTGTTTAAACTATTTTAAACACAAACTATTGAACTATTTAAACTATTTTAATGAAATTAATAATAAGAATAATATAAGACCTATTATATAAATCAAAAACAATGTGTAGGGAGAAATTTAGAGTTGAAATCACCATATTAGTAAAGAAAACAAAATGTTTTAAACAGCAATGATCTAAGCTTCCTCCTTGAGATGACAGAAAATGAAGAAAAGTTGAGGGCCAGTGAAATGGAGTGAATGTTCTTCAACTTCAGAGACCCACCTAGTGAAAGAGAAAACCAACTCCCCAAAGCTGTTCTCTAACTTCCACTTATACACTCCATGGAACAGGAACACACATACATACACACACACACACACACACACACACACACACACACACACACACACACACACACTAAATAACATAAATGTAAGAGAAAGTTGAACTCAAAATTAATAGAGAAAAGGCATGCTAATGACCAGAAATCAAGAAAAATAGATGAAAAAATGAAGAATAAAATTATAAATTAAGCTGCATATAGTGGCTTTTTCTTGTAACCCCAATATTCAAGAGGCTGAGGCAGTTAAATTGCTATGAGTTCAAGGTCAACCTTGACTACAAAGTGAGTTCTGGACTGGTCTGGCCTCCAAAATGAAACCAGACACAAAAAATGAAAATCAAAACAAAACAAACCAAACAGCAACAAAAACTCAACCCAACTTAAGCCAGCCCAAACCAAATCAAACCAAAATAGAAAACCAAAACTGAAAACTCTTTGAAAAAGTCAAGGGAAATGTTAAATCTCAGGCTGCCACAGTGGACTGAAAGTGAAAAGACATAAATTTGTAATATGGGGAATAAAAGATGGGTCATGAGAGAAGATAGTTAAAGAAGTAGCTTCATATGTATTTTATTACTATGCTTGAAAACTAAATAAAATCTTTACATGAAAAACCATAAATCAAAGCTATTATCAAAATTATCAAACAAGCATTGCCAAATTGAAGATAGTAATATTCAAAGCCAGGCACCAGGCTTCAATGGTTCTCATGTTAGATTCATTTAACAAGAAAAAAAAAAACCCCACAGTCAACTATTTTGCTATACTGAGAGAAAAGGAGTAAGTCATATCAACTCATTAAGGTCTTAAAAAGTCTTAAAGCACACTTTATACATCTTATACTTTTTTCTTTTTTTTTTGGTTTTTCGAGACAGGGTTTCTCTGTGTAGCTTTGCGCCTTTCCTGGATCTCGCGCTGTAGACCAGGCTGGCCTCGAACTCACAGAGATCCGCCTGCCTCTGCCTCCCGAGTGCTGGAATTAAAGGCGTGCGCCACCACCGCCCGGCTACATCTTATACTTTTAATACTATACTAAATAGTCAATAGCAACTTATTTAATTTAATAGTAACTTACAACTTATTCAATAGTAACTTTTAAATAAAATACACCTTTGTATTCATTTGTTTATTGAGAAAAATGAAACAGAGTTGAGAATAAAGTAAAGATACCTGGCATCCTCACATCCACGCAATATTGTTCTAGAAGCCATTGTGGTACTGTATGAAAAGAATAATAAACTGCCTAGATTTTAAAGAAAGAGAAAAATTTACTATATTTCCAGGTACCATGATTACTTATGTGTTAGAGTCTAAGAAATACTTAAGAAAACATGGAAGCATGCTTGAATTTTCTAGGGTCTGAGGATATAACACTAACAAGGATAAATAATGAACTAAAATAAGTGGCATAATGAGGGATACATTTGAAAACACACATGTCAGTAGTGTTTGATGGAGTAAGACAAAGCTGAGAAACTCATCAAGATCATAATCAGGGGATGCATCAAAACCATGTACTGAAGACTCAGCATTAAGATATCAATTTATTTTCTTTGTATTAATTCTATGTGATAATAACAACAAATTTAACAAGTGCTATTTGAAAATAAAATTAAAAAACATATCTTAATGTTTATATGGAAATGTAAAGGATCCAGAAGAGACAGAACCACTTACAAATAGTGAGAAGTTTGATGGTCATGTACATTTTTAAGATACAAAATGAAGAGTAACAATTTATTGATATTGTGTAGTGTTGCCATGGAGAGAGTCTACATATATGTACTGAACTGGTATTCAGTAGAGATGCTAAGGCAATAAAGTGAGAAAAGAATAGTTTCCAATAATGTTTCTAGGATAACTGGGCAGTTGAGCTGCAAAGAAAAATCTAAGTTCCTAAATCACACTGAGAAATTATAGAGAATGCATTATGGGCCTTATCATAAAGCTAAAATTTCAACCTTTTGAGGAAAGCACAGGAGAAATTTAGTGAAATATACAGAGATATTTTAGAGAGAAAATGTTAGCACTGGCCATCAACAAGACCATGAAAATAGAGAACTCCTTGTCCTGAAAGACACACCAAGAAAATGAAGAAAACAAATAAACACACAAAACAAAAACTAAAAACAAGCAATGTATCTGGAGACAACATTCCTGACACGAATTCATGACAAGGGACATTCACAGTCTAATAATAAAAAGAGTGAACCATCCGAAAAGAAAAAGGAAACCCTTTAAAGAAGAAGCAACTACTCAAGAAACAGGTGACAAATGTTCCGTATCATCAGACCACCCTGAGAACCAACATGCAGTCACTGGCAGGCCTAAGGTGGAAAAGAGATGCAGTGGTGATTGAGTCTAGCACAGGGGTGGGACAACTTGATTGAGCAGATGCTGATGCTGGGGCCACAGAGTGCTCTGAAAGACATTTTCTTACTGGGCAACAGCAATTCTCTTCCTAGATATCCACCCAGGAGAGAACACCAAAACAAGATTGATATGTGAATGTCACCAGTTGCTTTGTCTATAATATTCCCAACTAGAAATTACTAAAATACACCCCTAACTGAATAATAAAACAAACTGCAGGAATTCAGGCACTGTGTATTACTCAGCAATAAAAAGTGCAGCAGAGAAGGACATAGAATAGACAGTGTGGTTTATATAGAGTATGTGTACATGTAGAATAATACATATATAAGCCTATGTGCATACATGTGTATACCAAATATGAATATGTAATCTTACCATATATTTGATAGCCTAGGAAAGGTAAGGAA